AACATTAGTTATGATTAAGTTATTAGATTAATAACTTAATCTAATTCATAAATTAAGAATTCTGAACAGACTTTTTATAATTAGACAATGATTTTGAGAATGTATTTGTAACTTTTGCAGAATGGAAGAGATTCTTTCATGAGCATTTGTGTCCTAAAATCTCCTAACCCTAAGAATGATATTTCGCTTCTTTCATTTTTTTTCTAGTATAAATAAGAAAAAGAAAATCATAGGTGCTTATTCTGTTCTGTGATACCTAATGAGGAAAATGAGAAGGAAAAGAGAACGGGGGAAAATTTGTGTACCTTTGCTTATTAAGAGAAGGTTGACTACAAGACTTTAAAAATTTTTGTTTTCATTTAAATTCACTAGTATTCACCATGAACTTTCTGTATTAACCACAAAAATGGTTGAACTTAACTGTGATCTGTTTCAAAAGAAAATAACTCCACTGCCCATGGCTTGAAGTGAGCTTTTTTCAAATAAGCCATAAAGATTAATTACAGGTTGGAGATTAATGTCATGTAAGGATCAGTCAAAAAGTAAACAAAAGATTCCATTCCTCACAACCACACTGGGAAAGAACAAAACTAAGAAATTATTAACTATAGTTTATTGTGATATCTGAACCAGCCATTAAGTTTACCAATCCCCTTTAAACCTCAGGCTGTTTTAAAAACTGTGAGCTAAGCACGAGTTTACTGAATTGAAATGTAAATTTAGCTGGATTCTGAAAATTCTTAGGCAAGCATTTGCTTTAATTAAGGGAATTTATGTGAATTATCAAATGTGAACTGTCTTCTTTGACTGACTGTTCTATTGCTGACATTCATTGTTACATTATTCTATGAGAGAGAGAGAGGGAGGAAGAGAGAGAGAGGGAGGGAGGGAGAGAGAGAGAGGGAGAGAGAGAGAGAGGGAGAGAGGGAGAGATAATTTTCCAATTCTGCCTCTTTTTTGAGGCAAGATAAATGTCCCTTCTCCAAACTTAGCTCATATTTCAGTATTTGCAAAGGGTAATCTTTAACATCCTAAACGCTTTCACTAGCTTATCTATCTACAACTCCAGAGTTTCACTCCTGCACCAGTGGCATACCATCACGGTGACACATTCTTTCCAAAGGAGTCATTTGCAAGCCATACCGTCTTATCTGATGATTGAAAAAATAATGCCTTCTGGTATACATGCTTTAGGGTTAGTTCATTGACGACATCTTTGATAAATTTATGTTAGCTTTACTTATAATTTACTTATGTGTTTTACTTGTCTTCCCAGTTAGGCTCAAATTTGTGTGACCACTTTCAGTACTGGAAAAACAACTAAATTCTTACAGTATTTAGTGTAAAACCAAGAACTCGGTGGGATCTTAAGGAACTGTGAAGCTGAATCCACAAGACTTACTTGTGTTGCTGAAATAGTTTAATTCTCCCCCATGGTATTCTTTAGTACATACCATGAGAAAGTACTGATTCATTCATGGATTCATCATAGTATAAGCATTTAATTCAAGACCTTAGATCGTTATATGAACTTTTGTGAATTGTAGCCAATTTACATGCCTGTGGATCCAGAGATTATCATGACATTGTTATCATGAGATAACAAGTCTAGGCCATACCATCAAGGAATCCACATGCTATTGAGTCTCGTAGACTTTTCACAGTTCAGTGTACTCTCCAGTCAATTTAGTGTTCAACCAACCACTTCATCCCAATTATATTGCTTGCAAAGAATGAGCAAAAGTTCTCAAGATAGCTCAGTAAATTGGAGCTTCAGCTGAGGCCAGGAGGTAAAGTTTAAGGATAATTACTGTGTTCCCCCCAAAATAAGACCCTGTCTTATATCTTTTTGACCCTGAAATAAGCGCTTGGCCTTATTGCCGTGCGCTCAAAAGCCCAATTGGGCTTATTATCAGGGGATGTCTTATTTTGGGGGAAACAGGGTATTGTGTAAATGCACCCTCAGCAAAATAAAGCCTGCTTCTTGTTTAATTTATTAGTCCCCTTTTCAATTATAATTCAATTACAATTGGATTCATATATCAATATCAGATTAATGACAGTTTACGTGAAGAAACAATAGTCAGGAAAATGTAGTCTATGTTGCTAAGTTACATGCTGTATTTTTGACGGCTGAAATTTTGCAAACTCACACAAATGATTATTTGCGATTTTTATTAGGGGAAGTATGGCCTTTCACCGAATGGCTAAGGCTTTTAGGTAACTAAGTTCTGCATCAAATGTGACAGCGTTTATTGTTGTTTTTTATAGTTTTTGTTTTGTTTTTTGTGGCTTTGAGTCGGTAGTGACTCCTGGCAACCGCCAGGACAAATCTCTGCAGTTTTCTTGGCAAGATTTCAGAAGTGATTTGCCATTGCCTTCTTCCTACCGTAGGTTGAAAGGAAGTGACTGGTCCAAAGTTACCCAGCTAGCTTTGTGTCTAAGATGAGACTTGAGCTCACTTCTTGGTTCCTAGCCTGATGCCTTAACCACTACATCAAAACTGGCTGTCTTCTAGTATTGTTATAATGCATTGTACTCTATCTGTATTTTGAATACACTTAGAGTTTTGGGTTTGAGGCCATTGATAAATCTCCTGGCTGTGAGTTACAACCCATTTAGGAGGCAAACAAAAGATTTCAGCATAAAACTGATTATATCAGTTAGATCGGGGTCCCCCAATCTCCAGTCTATGGACTGGCGCTGGTCTGCGGCATTCCAGAAACCAGGCCATGCAAATAAGCGGAGGCCCATCCACGGGACGCAGGCAGTATACAAAACCATGACCCCTCTGGTCCGCAGAAAAACATCCCTCCGCAGAACTGGTCCCTGATGCTCAAAATGTTGTTGGCCATTGAGTTAGATCACTTAGATAGAAAAACTCAACATGGAACTAAGATGAAAATTTCCTGACCATGAGAACAACTAACCCAATGGAACAGCTTTCCTCCTGGAGTTGTGGGTACTACTACATTGATGGAGGTTTTCAAGAAAAGATTGTACAACCTTCTGTCTGAGCAGGGGAAGGTTTCCAAGATCCCTTCAAGCCCTGTGATTCTGTGTCTTAATTTCAGGCCGCAGCTGTGATCCTGGGGAAGGATTCTAATCAACTAATTAAGATCACAGTGCTGAACTTTTTAATTCACAGATGGCACTTTTTAGGGACATGCAGTGCTGTGGTCAAAAAAAGGCAGCTTTTTAAAGGCAATCTCTGTGCTCTGCGGGGTAGGAGGAAAAAAAGTGGCTCAGACACAGAATAATACAAATTAGGTCATACATGTATGGTTGTAAATTCGTACATTGGTCACAAAGTTACTTTTTCATCACTGTCATCATGCAAGCAATTGTTCTTCAAGTTGTCACTAATTGAGGACTACTGGTATCTTTTTATTATAATTGTATGATTTTATAATTATTTATAATAGTGTGCCATCTGTCAGAAATAGTGTAGGGCCGTGATGGCGAACCTATGGCACGGATGCCACAGGTGGCACGCGGAGCCATATCGGTGGGCATGCAAGCTCAGCCCCAGCACCCATGCGTGCGCCAGCCAGCTGATTTTCGGGCCTTCTGGGCCCACCAGAAGTCAGGAAATACACTGTTTCCGGCCTCCGGAGGGCCTCTGTGGGTGGGTGGGGAAGGCCGTTTTTGCCCTCCCCAGGCTCCTAGAAAGGCTCTGGAGCATGGGGAGAGCAAAAAACGGGTCTACCGGGCCCACCGTGCCATCACGTGCCAAAAGCGGGGGGAGCAAGGGGGGGCGGGGCGCATAGAATTATGGATGTGGGCACGTGTGTGTGTGACCCCAGCGCACTCCCCCCACTTTTGGCACGCAATGGCAAAAAGGTTAGCCATCACTGGTGTAGGGTCTCCTGCCTTGGCGGGGGGTTGGACTAGATGACCTACTAGGTCCCTTCCAACTCGGTTAATCTGTAATACTGTAATAAAATGTCATTATTTCAATGATACATGGTATTTGTAATTTTGATTTTGATTGCAATTTTACAGCTATGCTTTAAGATGGATATTCATTTTGACTTTAAACTATCTTGGTTGGATAGTTACACGACTGGAATGATGAGATACAAAGCCAATAGTGGTGACGATTGATGTAATAATAATTGCAAATCGTATAAAGCTGTGTTTGTTAAATTCAGATGAATTTATATATTCATTTCTCAAATCATATGTATTTTTATATACTTTTCACTTTTTGCCAGTCATTTTTTTTTGCCCCTATTTGTGTGTGTGTGTGTGTGTGTGTGTGTGTGTGGGGTCCTATCCATGTTCTGTTGTCATCAGTTGCCTTTTATAAGACAACTGGAACACATTTCTTCAAACAGAAGTCTGGGTTTTCTCAGTAGACAAGCACTTTCAATTTAACTATGACAACTCTTTACTTAGCCCTTGAATTTAGCTTTAGTTGTCTTCATTGATTCAGAAGATTGCGCAAAAACAAGCTTGAGAGAGACTTACGATGATGACTAGATACCAGTAATATTAGCTCTGATTAGATAACATAACTGAAGCTCTTCTTGAAAGATGTGTAGAAAACCCTTTTGTCATTAAAGGGTTTTAATGATAGTTTTATAAAACTGTTGACTGTTTTGGGGTGGAGGAAGTCAATTAAATGTAATTTACATGTTTCTTTTTTGCTTCCTTATTGCCATAGGAAGTATTTTTTCTACAACAAGGCCAATTGCTTTCTTAAAAATGAATTATTTTGAAGAACGTGACATAGTGACATCTCCTAGCGTGGAGAAAAGTCTGATTGAAGAATAGAGACATAGTTTTTTTTTTCCCCAGCTGATTCATAAGGCCAGGATTGGCAACATTCTTTAATGGAATTATACATAAACATTTAGCCCACATCCCACTGATAACGTCTGTTTTAGTTCAGCCAAGATTATATTATGAGTTAATTTGATTTTGAATCATTAGCTGTTTTAGAGATACAGAATTATTTTTTCATAACTGGTGAGCCTTGCTATTTTTACTTTTAGGAGAATACTGTGAAGTGAATGCTCGCTCAGGACGCTGTGCACCCGGAGTCTGCAAGAACGGGGGTACCTGTGTTAACCTGCTCATTGGCGGCTTCAAATGTGAATGCCCTCCTGGTGAATATGAGAGACCTTATTGTGAGATGACCACAAGAAGTTTCCCTCCAGAGTCATTTGTCACCTTCAAGGGATTAAGGCAGCGCTTCCATTTCACTGTATCTCTCATGTAAGTATCGCTCCTTCCAGTGTTGTATGAAAAATTTGCAAGTCGTTGCAAATTTGTATTGACCTCAAAACACAACATAAGCATCTTGAAACTCATTGTTTTTGCAATGGCTACCTAATAAAAAAGTTTGTTGCCGATTCTTACTACTAAAAGATTCCCTTACTTTTATACTTATTTTTCCACAGTTGGAGAATTGTTTGAGGTTGACCAAGAATTGAGATTGTGTTTGTCAAAGGTTTTAAGAGTATAGCTTTACGCTCAAGTTGGCATCTTCTTTTAACCTGACAGTCCCTGGAATATCAAGGGCTTGAAGATTTTATCTAATTAATTGCACCTTTCTTGACTGCAGTTTGTATTTTGTAAAAACATCACATGCCCACAAAACGTGTAGATAAGTAATAAAATTTTCTAGTTCATGAATTATATATGGTTTACAGATGTCATATAGGTAAAAAAAAACATATTGTAAAAATGGCTGAGAAAAAAGAGACACTACAGAATCCTGTACTTGTCCAGTACAACCTGTCTCATTTCTCTGTTAAGCTACTTATCACATTTATGCATCAACTCTCAAGTTGACTAATGTCTCTTTTAAGTTTTTCTCTCCTCCTTTTCCTTTCTGTCTTCCTTTTACCAAACTTAATTTTAATTTTAATTTAATTTAATTTAAATGTCAGCATAAATCTTTCTAGGTGAGATTTCAGTTACATGTCTGTGAGGGTTAAAGGGTCATTGCAATATATAAGGCAGAGCTTGTTCAAGAAGGTTTTTTCTTTGTGTGACCAAATTTTAGGTCTACATTACTAAAAAGAGGTTCCTAGGCTCTGCGATTTCAGTTGGAAACCCATTTTCTTTAAGTAAGAACCAGAGATAACACTGAGCACTATTTTATTTGTTTTTAAATTTGTTTTTAGCTCATCTTCAGGAGTGCAATATTCTTAAGGCTGCTCATGTAGTGATAAAAAAGGAAGCTTTTATTCTTTTGGTATCTACTGGACTTTAAAGCTCTTTAGAGCAGTGATGGTGAGCCTTTTCAGCACCAAGTGCCCAAACAGGAATGCGCTCCCGCGCCACTGCCCCGGAAACTCAGAGACCAGCTGGCCGATGCACATGCGCTCACCAGCCACCTTGTTTTCTGGTTTCTGGCGCATGCATGCTTACCAGCCAGCTGCTCTTCACGTGTGCCAGAGCCCTGGAAACCCGAAGACCAGCTGATCGGTGTGCATGCACTGGAAACCAGAAGAGTAGCTGGCGACGGCGCACATCAGGGGTGAAATCCAGCAGGTTTTGATAGGTTCTGGAGAACCGGTAGCGGAAATTTTGAGCAGTTTGGAGAACTGGTAGCGGAAATTTTGAGTAGTTCAGAGAACCAGCAAATATCACCTCTGGCTGGCCCCAGAGTGGGTGGGAATGGAGATTGTGCAGTATCCTTCCCCTGCCACGCCCACCAAGCCATACCATGTCCACCAAGCCACACCCACAGAACCAGTAGTGAAAAAAAATTGGATTTCACCACTGGCGCACGTACCCACAGAGAGGGCTCTGCGTGCCACCTCTGGCACTTGTGCCATAGGTTCACCATCACAGCTTTAGAGTATGCTGAAAGTAATGCACTCTTAAATGACAGTTTTAGGAAAGAAACATGAATAGGGAACCTGTCTATTTCTCAAAGGTGGGCTCTCAAGATTCCATTGCTCAGATAATTCTCTATAAGTAAAGATTCAGGATGTCACCATGGACCAGAGAAGAGTTTAGTTCACGCAATGGTGAACCATAGTTTAAGGATATAGAACATGATTTCACTGTAGAAAGGTCTATGTTTAAATCTTGGTATCTTCATATCAAAAGATCTAATACAGAGGTCTTCAAACTTGGCAGCTTTAAGACTTGTGGACTTCAACTCCCAGAATTCTCCAGCCAACTATGCTGGCTAGAGAATTCTGGAAGTTGAAGTCCACAAGTCTTAAAGCTGTCAAGTTTGAAGACCTCTGATCTAATAGCTGAAAATGTGAAAGACCCCTGCCTGCGATTCTAGATACTTGGACCTGCTATAATGCTACTTTCAATCATATTTTATTTCATATAAATAACAAGGGCAGAGGTGAAGTCACTAGTTAATTCTTTCAACCTGGAAGCGCCTTGATGCTTCTGACATGAGTGCAAAATAAATAAGTAATAAATTGACATTCTCTTTGTTAGATTCTTGGAAGCTGAAATGTTGATGCCACTGGTAAGAGGATCTCCAAGTGAAGCAAATATGAGGAGGAAGGTTCCTCCTCTCCTGTTCCTCAAATACACTATCTACAATAAATATCACACCTTTTGTTAGATACTCTTTCTCTTTCTTTCTTTCTTTCTCTCTTTCCTGTCCCCATATTAGACAGCCAATGACAGTTTGATGTATTGCAGGGGTGTCAAACTTGATTTCATTGAGGGCTGCATCAGGGTTATGTTTGACCTCGGGGAGAGGTGGGGAGCATGGCCAGGGTGGGCAGGGCCAGCTCGACATCACTCATGCCAGGGGGCATCCGTGGTGGCCCAGGCAGGGCTGGAGGGGTTTCATTGTCTCCAGCGGAGAAGGCGAGACCAGGAGAGCGCCAAATCCTTGTCCACCAGAGGAGCCTTGCCGTCTGCTGGTGGCCAAGTGCTAAGGCAGGACTTCCCTCCCTTCCTCCCTTCCTTCTCTTTTTTCCTTCCCTCTTCATTCACCTTTCTTCTTCCTTCCCCTCTTTCCTTCATTTTCCTTCCTTGCTCTCCTCCCATCTTCCCATCTTTTTCTTTGTCTTTCGTTTTTTTATTATTATTATTATTTGATTTATATGCCGCCCTCTCCGGAGACTTCAGAGCGGCTTACAATGCATTAAGCAATAGCCTTCATACTTTTGTATATTTATACAAAGTCAGTTTATTGCCTCACAATCCGGGTCCTCATTTTACCTACCTTAGAAAGGATGGAAGGCTGAGTCAACCTTGAGCCTGGTGAGATTTGAACTTGCAGTAATTGCAGGCAGCTGATGTTAATAACGGTGCTTTAGTCTGCTGCGCCACCAGGGCTCTTTCCCTTTCTCCTTTCCTGTCCGTTCTTGGATGCTCAAATGCAAAAGGGGAAACATTTCTCCTTTTGTTTTGTTTTGCTTTTAAATTGTTTTGCCAGCCCTCTGCCAGTGAAATCGGAGCGCAGGGGGCTGCACACGATCCCCCGAGCTCCATTTTTGCTGCCAGAGGCACCGCGGGCTGGGCCTTTGCTGCTTCCAGGGCGGCCCCACAGGCCAGATCTAAGCACCCCGTGGGCTGAATCCAGCCTGCGGGCCTTGAGTTTGACACCCCTGATGTAGTAGTTAAGGCACCAGACTAGAATCTGTGACACTGAGTTCTAGTTCTGCCTTAGGCACAAAGCCAGCTGATGACTTGGCACCAGTCATTCTCTCTTAGGCCTCAGAAGGAGAAGGTAAGGGCAAACCACTTCTGAAGATCTTATCAAGAAGACAGCAGGGGCTAGTGCAGGCAGTCATCAGGCATCAACGCTGACTCAAAAACACACACACACTCAAATCTCCACAATGGTAGCATGTCTAGCAAAACTTACTTAATTTGTTTGACTGGAGAAGGTTTCTGTGTGACATGTTGTTGTTCCTTTCTAACGTAGGTTTGCAACAAGGGAAAGGAATGCTTTACTTCTCTATAATGGACGTTTTAATGAGAAACATGATTTTATTGCTCTTGAGATCATTGAAGAACAGATCCAGCTAACATTTTCTGCAGGTAAGATACTTGCAATGACTGGAACTCTTTACTAAATAAAACGTATTTCTAAATTTTGAAAAAATATTCATGACGTTCTGTCATGATATTCATGATGCAATTTCTTTCCTAAGGCCACCGCCCTGTACATATCCTTGGAGAAAATAAAATTTCATTTCAAGATTCATGTTGTTGGAAATCATGTCTTATGGAGCCTAATATTAAGTGTAATCACTGATTATTCTTTGTTATATTTTTTGAAAAATTAAATATCACTGATCCTATACTGCTAAATTATGGCTCAATTAATCCATGCATACGTGTGCTAGAACAGTGCCATACTTCAGATTACAAAGTAAAAAAATGTTTTGGAATGTGTATGACCACTCAGAAGGCATCTGTCTGCAACTTCTTAAACTAAAGATATATTTACTCGGGGTTATAGCAGGCAGCTGTAATGTCATGGGAAAAGATGCTTATACCAACTGCTATGTGATTGTCCCCATATGTTTCAACACTGAATCTGAAATGTGTCCAGTCTCACATTCATGCCCATATTTCTGTTGTCCAGGATGTATCAAAATTACAGATTTGCTATTCACTATTATGCTATTGTTACTCTCTGCTGTTAGGTGGTTAGGTTAGATTAGGTTAGGTTAGGTTAGGATAGGATAGGATAGGATAGGATAGGATAGGATAGGATAGGATAGGATAGGATAGGATAGAATAGAATAGAATAGAATAGAATAGAATAGAATAGAATAGAATAGAATTCTTTATTGGCCAAGTGTGATTGGACACACAAGGAATTTGTCTTTGGTGCATATGCTCTCAGTGTACATAAAAAGACAAGATACATTTGTCAATAATCATAAGGTACAACACTTAGTGATAGTCATAGGGTACAAATAAGCTATCAAATCATACTAGGAAACAATCAATATAAATCATAAGGATACAGCAAAAAGTCACAGTCATACAATCATAAGTGGGAGGAGATGGGTGATAGGAATGATGAGAAGATTAATAGTAGTGCAGACTTAGTAAATAGTTTGACAGTGTTGAGGGAGTTATATGTTTAGCAGAGTGATGGCGTTTGGGAAAAAACTGTTCTTGTATCTAGTTGTTCTGGTGTGCAGTACTCTATAGCGTCATTTTGAGGGTAGGAGTTGGAACAATTTATGTCCAGGATGCGAGGGGTCTATAAATATTTTCAACAGCCTTCTTTTTGACTGGTGCAGTATACAGGTGCTCAATGGAAGGCAGGTTGGTAGCAATTGTTTTTTCTGCAGTTATTGAGTTACAAGTACTCCATTTTGTAAAGTATGGAAACTCCTTGTTTTCTTTAGGAGTCCATTGAAAACCCAAGTGCTTGGAAGGTTCATGTACCTGAACCAGAAGTGTGAATCTTAAATTATTCACTCTGCCTTGAAAAGAGAATGTGTGACAAAACGTAATCTATTTTACTTTATGTGAAAACATAGATAGCAGCCTAATTTCGTGCATGTAAATTCAGAACAAACCCTGTTTTGTTTAAGGGCTCAGATTGCAGCTCTGTGGACACTGTCCTATAAATAAACCTTAGATTCACTTTCAAGTAAAAATACATTCATGATAAATTATCCCAAAAGAGAATTTAAAACCTGTTAATACTGAAATTAGTGCTTGACAAAATTATTTAAAGATTCGTGTTTTGTAAATAAAATTACAAATCTCCCTTTGTTAGAGTCCTCCTTTACAATTACATGTATGTTTAATTTAGAAAAGAAGGAAGGGAAGGGGAGAGGGAGTGGGAAAAGAAAAGGTAGATAGATAGATAGATAGATAGATAGATAGATAGATAGATAGATAGATAGATAGATAAATGGATGGATGGATGGATGGATGGATGGATGGATGGATGGATGGATGGATGAAAGCAAAAGAGAAAAAAAGAGAAGAAAAAAAGAAAAATGAAAAATTGTTAGAAAATACCGGAACCTGATTCAGGAAAGTAGTTTTCAGATTATTTTTACACCATGAAGCTGAAATGATGTAAATATAGAGAATCTTGCATGTATAAACATTTATGATAAATCCTCAACAGTAAATATGATTATGAATATGATTATATTCTGAATATATTTTTAATAGGACTTTTTTGTGTGATTATTCTGTGGATCATAGCACATTGAAAAGTTTAGAGTTCAAGTCCTTAAATGCAACAGTTAAATTTAGATTTAAAGCTTTTTGCCCAAAGCAATACTTTTCTATTTACTAAGTTTAATTGCAAATCAAGATAAAATATACAGTAGCTGGAGAAGATTTCTGTCTAGATTGTATCAACTGTTTGTTATGTCTGTAACCTGCAAACGCCTTCTTATCTAGAGAAGGAGAAATGCTAAGGTAGAACACTAATCCTGCAAGAACATCTTTGTTTAAAACCTTAGTAGCCAGATGCAATTTGCAAAAGATTTATGGCAAAAAACATCAGAGCAATTGAATATTCTTACACTCATTTTTCTAAATTGTATTGGATCTTCAAGATATTAAATGATATATGTGCATTTACAGTCCACAGAATATATGAGTTCATTGAATAACTGTCTGTTTTATGAAAAATCCTGTTTATGAAATAATACACAAGTTAGAAAAAAAACATACCTACCTCTGGAATGAAATAAATGTTCTGATCAGAAGATAAATTTAGTAATAATAACCATAGTCCAGAGTTTATATCACATCAAAGTGGTAGCATCTAACTTACTGTGGCTTATTTCAAGAAGCAAACCTAGGTCAGATCAGAGAAATTCTTTGAGACATTGGTATGAAGCAATGGCAAAGTGCTGTTCTACTGTTATCGAGAAAGCAAGTTGAATTTGTCTGTGAAGTTGCCAACAACTGCAATTGAGAGTGTCTTTATTTGACTCTACTACAGTAATACTTTCAGCCATCATAGATGGAGAGGATATTTCCATGCACATTGCAGTATTTGTTCCAGCTGCATTTAATTGCTTTTTTAAAACATGGATACCATTGTTCATACTCACATATCAGCAACTACTATAATCTATTACTTAAGGTGACTTAGGAGTGTTTTTTTTCTCCTTAATTACTCATTGAGAAAATGTGTGGCATACTGTACATATTTACTTTTAATTTAAGTGCAAATATAGATTAAAAATCCAACTCCATGTTTGGTCTTGTTTAGTTTTTGCTAGTTTTTCTTCTGTTGAAGTTTGTATCATAACTTTGGAAATAAAGTAAAATTTATTTTCAAAAAATCCAACTCAGTGGTAATCAAGAGATTATTTGTATGAAAATGGAACATATTTTAGACTCAATTCTGTACAATTCTGACAATTGCTTCTATAGGCTCACAAGTGCAACTTGTTGCATTTGAATAATTACAACTGCAAATAGGCATTCAGACATTATAACAGATGTAGGAGAAAGAAACATGTTTTTGTGAGGCAGTATTAAGTGGGACGTGGTGGCTCAGTGGCTAAAACCCTGAGCTTGTCGATTGAAAGTTCGGCAGTTCAGCGGTTCGAATCCCTAGTGCCACGTAACGGGGTGAGCTCCCATTACTTGTCCCAGCTTCTGCCAACCTAGCAGTTCGAAAGCATGTAAAAAATGCAAGTAGAAAAATAGGGACCACCTTTGGTGGGAAAGTAACAGCGTTCCGTGCGCCTTTGGCATTTAGTCATGCCGGCCACATGACCATGGAGATGTCTCTGGACAGTGCTGGCTCTTTGGCTTTGAAACGGAGATGAGCACCACCACCTAGAGTCGGGAACGACTAGCACATATGTGCGTGGGGAACCTTTACCTATTAAGGAATATTAAAGTTTTCTCTTTTGCAAGTAATTTCACTTCTATTCAGATCCAAAATGCTTCTCAAAAAAGAATAGTGGGTGTTCCTCTTGAAATGCTCATAAAAACAACACAGAAGTATATTCACCATCTTTAGCGAAAGGCAATATTTGTGTTCCTTTCTCAGTTGAACACCTTTCTGTATGACCCAAGCAGGTGTGTGTGTCAAACTGAGGTAAATGTTTGCATTTGAATAGAATACTGGGGAAATACAGAGAGGTTTATTGTATACGTTGTTGGTCTTAAGTCTTAACCATTTTTTTTTTCTTATTCTTCTTTAGTGGAAACTTTTGTCCAGCAAGTCACTCATGATAAACCCAACCTGCCCATTTTGACAGGTCCTTGTGTACTTTTCCTGCAGATATTTGTTTTGCTATTACCTCAGAGAAGCAGTGAATAGTCACTGGGCTGGTTGTACTAGTCTGCATAACTTATCTGGCAGTTTGTTCTTTATCAAATCCAATCTTTAAAAGACATTTCAATGTGAAAGAAAGGAAGCCATGACATTCAGGGCAGGGGTAGAACTTCTGTAATTTTCTGGGAAGAAAAATGTTTTCTTTGTTCCCCCAACACCTTATCTGACATTCTTGTTAGATTCCAGCCTGAAGAAAACACACAGAAATTCCTATATCTTTTGTCAGTTTGCAGTTGTTTTCACTTTCTTGATTTATCCTAAATATTTACTTTTTGCATATGATTTGTTTTCATTCCTTTTCTAAGTGTTTGATGAAGAACAATTGCTACAGCACAAAGACACCTTAGAAACATACAATATACATTTGTATGGATATATACTTATAGTTGCCATAAATTGCTTGTTGTTGCCGTTAACATTGTTTATGCCACTTTACAGCTAATGTTATTGTTGTCATTAATTGTAAGTGACAATTTGAGTGGCAACAAATGCTTTTCTAAATGTAATTTTATATGCTTGCTAATGTCTTGTATTTACATTCCTCCGATTGTAATCAGTATGTAACAGTCCCCTTGGAAAAGAAATTTGCAGGTTGGAAGTACTTCTAAATTCACATTTGACCCTGTAAGCTCTTTTAAGAGCCTCTAATTGTTTTTGTCCAGTTTACGCTAATATACCTGATTTTGTCCATTTAAAAAGAAGTCACAATGTGATATGAGATATGGGACTGTGTTTGAAACTTCAGCAGGAAAGACATATAGCTGCAAAGGTATTAGTATACATTCATTACTGGGAAGTTATTAAATTTCCATTCCAGTACAGATGAATTGGCAGAGTTATGCATATTTAGCTTTATATGGGTTGGTGGCTCCTGGATATCCAAAGCAGGATTTTTCAAACTATTCCATGGAGTCACTAGAACAGGAGGGGAAAAAACCTTCACTCACAATCCATTTTCTATCTTTACTAACTTTACTTTCTTCCATTTACCATAGCAGCGTTCATAACTCAAAAACTTTGAAAACGCCTAAATAATATCCTATCATGTACAATGCTGTCTGTATCTTCTCTAAATCTTCATTTCTGGAGACACACAACACTTCATTCTCTGTTATTTTGAAAGTGATGGAGATGGCTAGCAGTCAGGAAAAGGTCACACCAAAACTTGAGCTTTCTCTGCTAAATGCCTCTTTTTGTTCCAACAGATCTTTAATCTGCCAGATTCAGCATCGTTTTCAAACTGCTTTTATCTATGTAAATTGTTCTCTTTATTATTATTTTTCTACATACCCTTTCTAATCCAAGTATTTAACTTAATTTAAGTATTTAACCCTAACCTTGAAAAACATGGTTCTGTTGAAAGACTTCGTTATATGTTGTCTTAATTCATAACTATATTGAGGGAACAATGTACAGTACAGATAGTCTTCAACTTACAACAGTTCATTTAGTGATTCAAAGTTACAACGGCACTGAAAAAAGTGACTTAGGATCGTTTTCACACTTAGACCATTGCAGCATCCTCATGGTCATGTAATCAAAATTCAGATGCTTGGCACCTGACTTGTATTATGACGGTTGCGACCTTCTGACAAGCAAAGTCAGCGTAGAAGCCAGATTCACTTAACAACTGTGTTATTAACTTAACTGCAATGATTCACTTACCAACGGTAGCAAGAAAAGTTGTAAAATGGGGCAAAACTCACTTAACAGCTATCTCATTTAACAACAGAAATTTTGGGCTCAATTGTGGGTCGTAAGTTGAGGCCTACCTGTATATGCATACATATGTACAATGGATTTATCTTTAAAATCTTTGGTATTAATCTACTTAATATTTTGTTTGATATATTTTGCTGCTGATTGTACCAAATACGATTAACGTCTTTGTTAATTGCAGAAAATGAATGTTTTCAAAAAATCGAACTTTTAAGTTGAACACTTTCTTATTCTCTCTCTCTTCCATGCTATTTCTCAGGAGAAACCACCACAACAGTTGCTCCATTTGTTCCAGGAGGGGTTAGTGATGGGCAGTGGCATTCTGTCCAAGTGCAGTATTATAACAAGGTAAGGAATGCTCTTTTAGTGATATTCTCTATAAGTTCAATGGATTGGACCGGTTTCTCTGTTAACATAAACCAAGGAAGTCCTTATGGTTGAAAGCCATGCAGGAATGGAAAACTTGCTTTGGGGCTGATGCATTTTTTAATATTGCAATAGGTTAATTGGATATATTCCATAATGATGAATGAGTATTTTTGAACCATTTGTGACTATTCTTCACAAAGGCCACACTTGGAATATTGCATTCAGTTTTGGTCGCCATGATGTAAAAAAGATGTTGAGACTCTAGAAAGAGCGCAGAGAAGAGTAACAAAGATGATTAGGGGACTGGAGGCTAAAACATATGAAGAACGGTGGCAGGAACTGGGTATGTCTAGTTTAATATCTAGTTTCAATGTAAACTTAAGAGTTTTTGAATCAGAATGCTTGGAGGATGGACCTTTGCCCACAATAGAGAGATCTGGCTGAAAATAACACTAAATATATATAGTTCAGGATAATAAGGATGAGCCCTCCCCTCCCAAAAAGGCACAGGGTAATATTTTTATATCATAACAAAACAGTAAATAACTTAATATTCATACCAGAATATTGGGGAACATCTCTTTCTGTTTGTAAATGAAGTTGTCATATGGACCTGGAATATAGGAACGAAAACGTTACTGAAAATTACGATTAAGTTAAAATGGAGCTAAATTTCTAAAGTTTCTCACGGCACCATTGTCGTCGGAATATGTGAGCCTGAGGCTGACTGCAGCTCATCCTCATAAAGCTTGTCTCTGTTTACTTCTACATGTCATGAGGTCATTGCCCTGAGTTCTTTATGAAAGACATCATTCTTTCTTATTCCTTTATCTTTTATTTTAACATTACTGGGAGAGGATAGCTATTTGCAGCTTATTTAAGTACCTACTTAGTCTTTGCCATAAATTTTCTTGCAATCTGCAGCTTATACCCTTGCATTTGGTTGTTACAGTTCAGTTGCTTTCGTTGAAAAAACACTGATAAAATGACAGATGATAGAGTAATCCATAGTTCTTTTACTGGAGTCATTGGTTCATGTTGGCCAAGAATCCTGGGAAAAAGCTTATATATCAGCAAAAGTCTGGGTTTCATGGTGTGGTTGTTGGTTTAGAATTTTAAGCAGCTGCCAAAAAGATAACGACTTGACATTGCTCCAGGGTATTCTTTAAAAAGAAAAGTGATCCCGCACATTAGTTAAAAATAAAGTTTCGCCTCACTTCAGGATCCCAAGTTTGTTCAAGTAATAAAGCAGTTTTCAAACAATATGATTATTTACAGACAAGAAAAATCATTTTGTGTATGGATAAGACTGCTTATAAAAACACAAATTCCACCTCTTAGAACTCAGTAAACCAGTTTACTGGTTTAATAATGGCACCGGCATAAGATTTTGCAGGCCTGTTTGCCATCTCAAATCAATAGTTGACTTTTTGCCTTATTTATTCGCTTGTTTAATTTATATTCCACACTTCAGTAGGTTCCCAGAACAGTCTCCAAGAAGTTAAAACTACAGCAAATAGAAATTTAGAAAATGTAAATAAGAACATAAAAATACCATAGCATGAAAGCAATGAAAGAACTTGTACGATAAAGATTCCCTTGAGTCAGGCACAATTCTTAATTATAAGGACACACCCATGTAATTTTCTTGGCAATAATGTACAAGTGATTTGCCATGGTTGCCTTTTGGGGCAGTTTTTCTATCTCCCTATCTATCCTACAGTCCTGACGTTTTCTGGTAATGTTCTATCCAAATTGAGATTATTGAGATACTGTGATTATACAAGGATATGTAACCAACACTAAGAAACAAAAAAGCCCAAATGGCTAAGCCAGTGTCTGCATTTCCTGCATCGGATGAGGAGAGCACATCTTTTTCCTTCCGTCCTGGCTACTTTTTACAGAGGCCTGATTGAGAGCATTTTAACAAACGGCATCACTATTTGGTTTGGTGGCAGCAGTGCCTCATATAGAAAGTCCATACAGAGAGTGGTAAGGACAGCCGAGAAGATTATAGGAAGCGCTCTTCCTGTTATTCAGGATACTGCTTATAAGCACTATGTGCTTAGAGCTCAAAACATTGTTAGAGACCCCACACACCCACTTTATGGTCTGTTTCTGTTGTTCCCCTCTGGGAGGAGGTTTCAAAGTATTTCTAGCAGGACTACCAGATTCTGTAACAGCTTTGTTCCCTATGCCATCCGTCTGGTAAACTCACAAGATTCGTTTTTCTCACCATGTGCATTTATACATCCGAACTTGACTGTGCTGTTTCTCCGTGTCATATAATATATGTGGGTATATGCATATTCATTCATTCATTCATTCATTCGTTCATTCATTCATTCATTTGTTTATTTATTTATTCATGTTTATGTCGTGTATATTGGAGGTGGTGACCCTTTGAGAGCTGTGTGCAACAAAAATTCATTTTAATGTATGCCGATTAGTGTACGTTCAAAGTGACAATGAAGTTATTCCTCCTTCTCCTTCTTCTCCTTCTCCTTTTCCTTTTCCTTTTCTTTTTTCTTCTCCTTCTCCTTCTCCTTCTTAAATCTAAAGACATCGTGGTAGGTGACCTAAATGCTACATTGAAAGGAAATTTTTAAACCAGATAAGTATATTACACAGTTTATATTATGCAGTTCACATTTTGGAGGCCCATAAGAAGTATAGATTTCCCCTAAGTGATAGCAGGGTGGAGAAGGATTATATTGAAATAACAGCTTGTGGTATCTAGATAATAACAAGAAACACAACTCCTTTTTCTTTTTGAAATAAGAGAAGCCTCATCAACTCTTAGCACCCAATAAGAAGGGAGACATATTTCTGTTGGGTATCATACCAGAAAAATATAATAAAGGGACTATGTATTTCCTATTACATATGTTAACAGCAGCCAGAAATGTATTTGCACAACATTGGAAATGTGTGGAGATGAGAAGATAATAATTAAAAAACAAAACAAAACTAGAATGTGCAGAAATGGATAGATTAACACTTGAAATTAAAGAGAAGGAAGATACGGAATATTTTGAAATATGGGATTCATTTTATCTATGGTTAAATAACAGAAACAGAAGTTAGAATATTTAAAATTATAAGCGAAGGATTAATTTTACCACGAGGGTTTATTATGATACGTTTATTATCAATATGATTTAGCATTAACAATTAAGTACCGTGTTTCCCCCAAAATAAGACATCCCCTGATAATAAGCCCAATCAGGCTTTTGAGCGCATGGCAATAAGGCCAAGCGCTTATTTCAGGGTTCAAAAAAATGTAAGACAGTGTCTTATTTTCAGGGAAACATGGTATTAATATTATGTGGAGAAAATACTGTTATTATACGATCACTACTAATGAACATTATGATGATGATGAAGAAGAAGAAGACTATAGCTCAAATTAACTGTAACCAGGGATGGGCTGTTGGGGGTTCGCAGGGGTTCGGGAGAACCTCTAGCTAAGATTCTGTGCAGTTCGGAAAACCCCCAAATCCCACTCCTGGATGACCCCGCCCCTCCCCTCCCAGGAGTCCCCACACAGCCCATTTTGGATGCAGGTAAGTGCAGGGCATGTGTGGAGGCTCGGGGAGGGTGAAAAATGGGCCTACCGGAAGTTTGGGAAGGGAATGGGAAAGGCCTGTTTCCGGCCTCCAGAGGGCCTCCGGACCCTTGAGAGGCTGTCTTCGCCTTCCCGGATGCTCAAGGAAAGCCTCTGGAGCCCGGGGAGGGCAAACATCCCCCCCCTTGCAGGAGGCTGACTAGCCCACGCCCACCATGGCCATGCCCACCCCGCAACTGGGCAGAGAACCCCTTGCTAAAATTTTTGAAGCGCACCCCTGACTAACCAGACAACACACTGTTTATATAGACATTGAAATGGTTGCTTTTTCTTTATATAGTAAAAAATAAAAAATATATTTGAGGAAAAAAGAAGGGAGATATTGCACAAGTTCAGCTTAATTTGCCTGTGTTGGATTGTTGGGTACTGCAAGCAAAGCTAAACCACAAGCTTGCCTTGTTGTGCTCCCTTTTCCCTTAAGGCTTCCTTTCCAAATTCTACAGAACTAGAAATCAAGACTTGCCTGTAAGCAATATATGTTTGGAGGCAGTTTATTGGTAAGCTCTTGTTTTAACAAGGTCTTAAAGTACCACAGAGATTTTCTAAGACAAAGGTAATTTAAAAATTTTGGGCTGTGCCAATAAATATATGGGATGTTGTGTCTAAACTTGATGCAGCACTGATATGTCAAAATCATCCAGGTGCATTGCATCACTTAAATTACATGCAGGTAGCAGATTTGAAATCAAGGTACTGGCTGTTATGCCAATAGCATATTTTATCACGTTGCTGTGTAGCTGCTGCAAATCAGCCAAATTTGATACTTTACGATATGAATGCTTGATAATTTTATGACACTTCAAACATCAATCATTCATTGTATAAACTTCTATACATCTCTTATATATTCCTTTATGAATTCCAACTTGTAACCTGGACTTCGCCATATATAAATATAAATGAGAAAATACAGGAATAGATTTTTCCCATGCAATATGAAATGATACCTTTGCTGTTGTCTCTAAAGTGACTCTCTGCCTCTGGCATTCTCCAATATCATTGTTACCTGATATAGGTGCCTGCTTGGTTTGACATTTACAGCAGTGGACCACTGGTGGTCTGTGAGAAAATTTTGGTGATCCGCAGAAAAATTATTTGCATTTTTTTATATTGCACTAAATACTATTTAACTTTTTAAAAAATTCATATTAGTGGTCTGCGGGATTTAAAATTATGAATTTAGTGGTCCCTGAGGTCCGAAAGGTTGGTGACCCCTGATCTACAGGATAACTTTGGGTACCCTTGCCTGGATTTGATGTGCATTCCCAACATTCTTCACTCATTCTTACCAGGACCTCCCCCCACCCCCCACCCCCCGCACAATAAGGCACCATTAAAAGACTTGGGAGGG